CTCCAGTTGCAGAGCACAGGCTCCGGACGCGCAGGCTCGGCGGCCATGGCTCACGGGCCCAGCCACTCCGCGGCATGTGGGATCTTCCCGGACCGGGGCACGAACCCGTGTCCCCTGCATCGGCAGGCGGGCTCTCAACCACTGCGCCACCAGGGAAGCCCTGGTTATCTGTATTTTTAACTTGCTCTAACTTTTCCTAACTTTTAACTTGCCCTAAAAAGTTTTAATTTGCTTTGGTCTTTCTAAAGCAGACCAAAATTTGAGAACCATTGGTTTGGAGGAAGGAACTTCAACCCAAAGTCAGACCTTTGACCTAGTATCAGTTTGTCTGTGAACTTGCAGCATGACTGTCATCATCATCCCCTTTCACCTCTACTCCCCAGACCTGTGTTCTTCCTCCGAATCCCTTCTCTTTGGAAATGGCTGCACCATCTACTTAGTTCCCCAGCCCAGAAATACAGGAATAATTATTAATTCCTTTCCTTCACTCCTACATCTAATAACCCTCCAATCTGACTGATTACACTTTATAGCCATTGAATCTGCTAACTTTTCTCTCTCCTCACTGTTGGCTGCCTTATTTCAAACCACTATTATTTTTGGCCTTAATTATTTTAAAAAGCCTCCAAATTTTTCTCCCTACTTTTATTCTTAATTCCACAAAACTAATTGCCATACTGTAACCAGAATATTAGCTTTAATAAACAAATTTGTTAAACCTTTTCAATGACTTGCTATTGCCCTGGGGATAAATGCCAGATTCCTTAAGGAGCTTACAAGGTGTTCCAAGCTCTGTTCTTGACTAACTCTCCAGCATCAACCCTTCACTCTCTCCACTTCCCAACTCAGCACTTTGTTGGAAGTTGCCTGAACCTTAGGGCTGTCGCATACCTCTGCTCTGTCAAGAATATTATTACCTTTTCCATCTCCAGCCAACCATTCCTATGGATAACTCCTATTCATCCTTCACAACCTTTTTCTAACTACCCCTTCCCTTTTGTTCCATCAACCCAGGTGCCCCTCTCACATGTCTCCCCAGCACCGGCACAGCCATATAACAGCATTTTCCAGAGTATTGTGGTTGTCTGTTTACTTATCTCTCCCTCCACACTAGCAGGTAGGGACTTGTATCTTGTTTATGATTGTGTTCCTAGAGCACAGCCAAGTACCAGGCATATAAAAAACTCTTAAGTATTTGTTGAATAACATTTATTATTATTTATTTTTAAAGCTTATTATGTTCCAGGCACTGTGCTCAGTGCTTTATATGAATTCTTTCTTAATTCTCACAGCAGTGCTTCAAGGTAGTAGATTAAGTAAAATGGCCAAAGTTATATAAGTGAGGAAAATGCAACTTAAATAGTTCAGAACTTATACTCTGAACCTCTGTATTATAATGAATGAGTTTTAGTTTTCTTATTTCTAAAATAAGGAGGAGAAACCAATTAAATCCCTAAGATGCCTTTTAACATTTTGTGACCACATTTACTTATCCAAGGTTAGATAGGCTTTTATATTTATTTTGTTTCTAGGTTCTGCTTACCGCTATGATCAAAGACAAATGCCCAATTCCAACCTACAGGATATGTATTTATTTTGTATGGCTCTTAATCACAATTAAGATTTCTTTTAAAAAGTTCATTAACTCCCTGAATTGTATGCAAAATTTTTGTGTGTACATACATATTCCCCACCCTGGAGGAAGATTTTCATAATCTTTCAGAGGATTCTGCATAGGCAAAAAGAACAATAAAACACACAAAACAACCATTGATATATATGATCTCCACATTCTTCACACATCCCGTTTTTTGTTATTTTTTTCTGTGTATATCTGGAACCACACTAGAACTTGGTAGCATCACAATGATGAACATATATTCAAAACATGTTCTAGGGCAGGCATATTTATTGTCTGGCTCAATAATATTTTAGCTTTTAGACATCTTTCTAATTTTTTCTCTTTTTACAACTGTGTCTGATGTTTATTCATAAATGTGCCTGACCTACCTGTAGATTATCACACATCTCTTGGCTGTATGTTAACCGCTGAATTTCAGTAGGAGAGACAAGGTATAATGCCTGTCCTTCATTGGTAAAACAAAACGTCCGTGCTATCCTCATGTCTGTCAGTGGCAAATAATTAACATCCAACATTGGGCGAAGACTAGGTAGGCTGAATGGAAAAAAAAAATCCACATTTCATATTCAAGTTGTTAGAAGCTTTTAATTTCTTCATATAAAATGCAGATCCTTACATAAAACAATACTTTTTATACCACTACTTTACGGTTGTTTATTTATCCTCTTGAATTTCCAATGGTAGTAAACTAGACTTTCACATAAAATCATATTCACAAAAAATTATGGGCACAGTTCTTCTATCTTAATCCACACAGATACTTAGCAAATGTCCTTGAAGGATGGATTAAATGCAGTGGCCAGCAATTTCAAAATGCTTTTTGGAGCATTTCACAGGTTCCTACAGTACAGTTATAATCTTTGATTATGGCAGAAACACCACAGCTAGAAAGTGGCTGCCTGCATACTTGGTCTGTTTTTAAGGCAGAACTTCTGGGTCTGAGGAGGTTATACACTGATGAAGTGGGTCTAGTTCACTGTGCCTGGGAATGGAGTGGCTTTGCTCCCCATTCCTTTACTTCCTCTATACACAGAAAGTGAAAATCACCTATGACTTAGGGCACCTGCACTGAAGAGATGATTAATAAACCAACATGGCTGGGGGCTGTAACAGAATTAGTTACAAATAATAGATCAAAATTTGCACATCCAAGCTAATACCACATCTCAAGTGTCTTACTGATTGGCTCTATGCTTATCCTAATGTTGTAGTCAAATGATTCTGCTTACATATTTATAAAAATGTACTTTTGGATACTGTCACTAGAGCCAGATTTACAAACTACTAAAGAAAACCAATCTCAATGCTTTTAAAGCACATCTCTAATGCCAAAAAGAGAAAAACTTGTAGTTAAATCTCAAGCTTTGAAATCATTCTGATTGTAGTGTGCACAATGATTTTAAATTAACCCAGATCATAAAACCAGCACCTTGAAAAAAAAGTACTTATTTCTCTTATCAAAGTAGTTTGTAATTACAACTTAAGCCCTAGGATCTTACCATATAAAATGGGACCTGAAATCTGTGCTATAGGAATAAGTTTTTCATGAGGTCCTAGCGCTATGCTGTCCAATATGGTAGCCACTAGCCACATGTGGCTATTGAGCAGTTGATATATGGCTTGTCTGATTTGAGATATTCTGTAAGTGTAAATTATATACTGAATTTCAAAGATTTAGTATGAAAAAAGTATATTAAAAATACATGTGATGGTGTTTGAAGTAACAAAGATCCTTAGGATATGAGTCCAAAACAAACCCAGTTAAACAGACTTCCATTCATTCAGATTAATGGGCTGTGGTGGGGAAGAGGTTCCTATGGACTTTCCTGATAAGTTGTGTTGTCTATGTAGCATAATAAAAGTAAGCCAACAAAATACAACAGGTGTAATCACTTTTGGTAGGAAAAGGAAAAGTAAGTCAATTGCTAAGGTCTAGGAAACAAGTACTCTTAAAGATGAAAAAAGAAACAGATTTTCTCTGTGCAAGGACATTTTTATAAGGAAATAGTGTCAGGTAACTAAAGATGGTTCCCACTAAAAATGGCTCTCTCAGCCCAGTTTGAGAACTTTATACATAGATAAGCCTCTTGCATCTCTCTCTACTCTTTTCTACATCTGGGTACATTGGCACATGAGCAATCATACCTACCTAGCAACTATCTGAAAACTAGGACTTGAGATTCGGCTCAGTGTAGTTAAGTTCTGCATTGGAAATACGGAGTCCTAACCACTGGACTGCCAGGAAAGTCCCGTAGTTAAGTTCTGACAGGGTCTGGAAAGATCTGGGAATATGCTTAGCAAGGTCAGGAGCATGCCAATATGTAGACTCCAGTTACTCAAGCCACATGTTTCCTAGCCACACCTTACACATTACTAAAATCATGTCAAAGTCACTTTTCAAATATTTTTGAGATCCTCATGAACACATAAAGAGTTTCCACTAGGACATAATATTAAACTAGTCATTATCATGTAAAACAGCTTTTACAGAGGGCAGAGACAGATCATTTTATCTTTCCTATTGCTATGACTCCTGTTGCTTTTTAAACTCTTGCTTTTCATTTCTCAAGAAATTCCCCTCCTCATAAATGTAGATGTAGCATGTATTCATTTAAGTAGAAATTAATTTTCAGATGTACCATTTAAGAAAAGAAGACATACTAAAATTTTGCAAAAACAGGGTAAGTAGTCACTATCAAGCTAAAAATTCAATTGCGAAATAACATTTTTGAGTGACTAAACATGAGCTCAGGGGAGTATACACATTTATTTTTTCCTTCTAAACTAAGGCATGTCTAGGAGTTAAGTCGTTATTTTCAAACAAGACTGGAATGGCCTTCAGAAATCTTTAAAAAGAGCTTGAGAAAGAGAAACCAGATGAAGAGAGAAAGAGTAAGAAATATGGAAGAGAATGAGCAGGCCATAAATGATTGATTTTATGTTTTCAAAACTTTCTCCTTCATTAACTACTTCTTGGCTTACAAATCTACTCATGTCTCCCCTATTAAATAAAATATAACAATAAAAACACTCTCAAACACCCAGTTTTGCTCTCGAACTACTTTCCTGTCTCTCATCTTTTTACCAAAATTTCCCCAAAGAATACTGTCTCAGGGGTTGGCAAACCTTTTTTTAAAGAGACAGTAAATATTTTAGGCCTCCGGTGCAACTACTCGACTCTGCCCTACTGTGCACAAGCCCCTCTGGGCAGTATGTAAGCAAATGGGTGTGGTTGTGTTCCCCGAACCTTTGTTTATGGCCATTGAAAATGTGAATTTCATATACTTTCCACATATCATGAAATATTCTTCTCTGATTTCTTTTTTTTTTTTTTTTTTGCCCTTGAAGTGCAGATTCAGAGCCTCTGGGAAGCTTCCTAGCTTCCTGTTTTAAAGATCCAACAAGAATACAGTTGTCGCCTTCCTTTAGGGAGGGGTTTCAATTCAGCACCCTGGAAGCAGACAAGCCAGAGGGGTGGGCTTGATTGGCTCTCCTGGATCAGTTAGAGACAGTGGTGCAGGCAGTGCTCACTCTGCAATGGCATGGTGTCTTACTGTACAAAACAGTGCCAAGTTCATTTGGTATAGCTGGGGCAGGGCTGGAGGCGCTCTCAGGACCTATTATACGTGAGCCAAAAACCTCATCTCTCCAGTTGTTCCTTGGTCTTCTAAAGGAGACCAGGAAGTAGAAGAAAATGAAGACGTTGGAGTCAGAAATCTGCTTCCGACAACAGAACAATGGGTGCCACTGTGCTTCTCATATGGCAGCAACTGCTCTCAAAGAGCATATAATAGAATTACACACACACTGCTACCATCATGAGAGCCTCCCCGTGGCGTATGTGGGCCTCTCACTGTTGTGGCCTCTCCCATTGTGGAGCACAGGCTCCGGACGAGCAGGCTCAACGGCCATGGCTCACGGGCCCAGCCGCTCTACAGCACGTGGGATCCTCCCAGACCGGGGCACGAACCCGTATCCCCTGCATCGGCAGGCGGACTCTCAACCACTGCGCCACCAGGGAAGCCCTTCTCTGATTTCTTTCAACGATTTGAAAATGTAAAAACCATTCTTAGCTTGCAAGCTGTACAATATCAGATTGGGGGGAGGGCAGGGTAGATATGGCCTGGGGCTGTAGTCTGTCAACCCCTGATCTATGCCACTGCCTCTTCTTGCGCCCTTGAAATTTAGTCTTACCTCCACCGTGCTCCTAAGATTTGCTTTCTCAAAGATCACTAATATCTAGGTGCCAGATCTAGGGTATTTTCTTGTACCCAAACTCTTTGACCTTTCTGCTCTGACTACCTCTTGACCATCGTTTTGGTGGTCTTCTATCCTTTGTTTTGATACTCTGCTGTCGTTTTCATTTCATGAAGTTCTGCTACTCTGATCCTTTTCCTAGCTCTCTGATGACTTCTCAATCTCCTTTGCTGGAGTTTCTTTTTTCTCCACTACATAAATATAGACATATGCACCCCTCCCCCCCAATTTTTGTCCTAAGACCAGTCTATTTCTCCGCTTTTTTTATACTGTCTTCTTTGATGATTTCATTCACTGCTACAACTTTCACTAATGCATTTACGTAAATGATTTCCAGAGCTGTATCTTCCATCCCTATTTTTTTCAGAGTCCAGACCTTAAATTGCTGGCTAAACTTCTGCAGGCTGGCATATAAGCACCTCACATTCCAAGCATTCATTCTCAATTCATTCCCAAACTTCTCATTATCAGTCTTTCTAAATTCTGACTTTCTTATCTGCTAATGACCTCACTATTATCCAAGTTCATGATAAAACTTTTTAACCTTTAAGTTCTTTTCTAACCCTGATATTTAAAGACCTCCATTACCTTTCACAACCAATTGGTTTTACATTCAGCAAATTTCCCTCAATTATCCCTCACATCTGTTTCCACCTAGCCTTCAATATAGTTACAACTTCAGTTCAAAAGCCCATCCAAGCTCTCCATGTATATTTCTTTTTTTTTTTCTTGCGTTATGCGGGCCTCTCACTGTCGTGGCCTCTCCCATTTGCGGAGCACAGGCTCCGGACGCGCAGGCCCAGCGGCCATGGCTCACGGGCCCAGCCGCTCCACGGCATGTGGGATCCTCCCGAAACGGGGCACGAACCAGCGTCTCCTGCATCGGCAGGCGGACTCTCAGGCACTGCGCCACCAGGGAAGCCCTCCATGTATATTTCTTAATGCATAGTTAGAGCAGGTTAAAATAAAATGACTTTAAGTATACTGTTCAGTGTTGATCTCACTTTTTCCTAGACTTGCAACCTCAGGCAAATTTGTTAACATATGTAAAATGGAGGATGCAAATAACACTTTATTTTCCTATGTCCTAGAGAAGTTATAAGGATAAAATTAAATTCTGTATGGAAAATTCTTGTGTGTACTATGAAACATAGTAAAGGTAACAGTTCATTTCTTTTCCTTGTAGTTTATTCATCTTCATATATCCTGTGCCTAGCATAGCATCTGGGAGATAACATGTGCTCAATAAATGTTGAATGAATGTGTGAATGACTGGAGAATCACTC